AATTTCATTAGAAAACTAGGAATAAATTATTAAACCATTATTTTAGAAGTGATGTATATTTTATATATGTGTGTATGTACACATATATGCATATATTTTATATATGTAATACATGTTATATATATAACATATATGCATATATTTTTATATATGTAATACATGTTATATATATATATGAATGACTGTAGACAAGAAAAAGTAAGTTAAAACTCAGAAAAATCTCTAATTGAGAAAATTAGACATCAAGTTTGTCTTGCTTCCTGTGTTCCTGAACTACTCAAACTCTTCCCTGCTCTATTTTTTTTTTCTCCACTGAGTCAAAGAAGTTGAAATAGTGAAATCAATGGCTAGAGGGGTTGCTAGAAAAATATTGATAAAATCTGTATTTTTCTGTTTCAAAATAAAAGTGTGCTCTTTTTGACAAATGTTCAATGAGATGACTTCCTTGAGCTCAGAAAAGAGCTGGGGGTAAAATTTCACAAATACTTTTTCACTCTTTGAGTACCAAATCCAAGTACTATGCCATTTAAGATGCAGTGGTCGAGAATGCAAAGGCCTTCCTGCCTGCCACTTCAGTAAAGTGACAGTCACAGGTAAATAATGGAGCTAGTAACTCAGGGCTGTGGTGAAGAAATGCAGAGCACAGTGTGAAAACACAGGAAGGGTACTTCATTCAATATGAAGTCAGGAGCTAGGTGGGATAGGGTTGAAGTGGAGGATAATAGGGCAATATTCTGGGAAAAGTGAGAAAATAATCTGATAAGCTGAAACCTGAAGTGAGAAAGGGCCTAACCAGACAAAGAGTCAACAGAAAAGATAGCCCATGCTTTAAAACAAAATAGAATGTTGGGCCTCCCTGGCGGCCTATGGGTAAAGTTTCATCTCTATCACTGCTAAGGCCTGAATTCGATCCCAGCCAGGGAGCTAGCCCACTTATGGCGTAGCAGACCTCTCCTGACTCGCCCACTGCTCCCCTCAGCAGTGTGTTTCAGTCAGTCTGCCTGTTCTGTTCCCCACTCTGTCTCTGGTGAATCCTCTCACCCCCCACACCTCTGGCCTATACCCCAGTTCTTATATGCACAAATAAATAAAAGTAAATCTTTAAGAAAATGTATCTCTCAGCTTCATTCATTATGCTCAATTCCTATACTTACTTACCTCATTCCAGGTGCTTTCTGGCCAGGGTTCTAACTCATGCTTCAGTGGCTGGCGATAGCATGATAGTGCTGAGACTTAACCCCTTGTGCCACCAGGGAGGCCCAAACCTGAGAGATATTTGAAAAGCCACAAAATATGTGATCTATTTTATTTATTGTATCATTCTTTTATTGATGTAATGTTGATTTACAACACTGTACATGATTCAGAAGTGCAGTTTTCCCACCTCTTTAGGTGTATGTCACACATCTTAGAAAAGCTAAGACCCTCATAATATTTTCCTTATAAGAGAGGTAATTTTGTCAAAGGTAATAATTCTTTGGGGCTTGGCCATTGGCATTCTTTTGTTTTATAAATGTTCATGTTTTGTTTTTTTTTTTTTTTTTTATAGAGGCATGTTTTATTTATTTATTTGTTTGGTTGGTTGGTTTTTTGTTTATACATGCACTGGGTACAGTCAGAAGCGCGGGAGGGTGAGAGAATTCACCAGAGCCAGAGCGGGGAGCAGAACAGGCAGAAGGACCGAAGTACACTGCTGAGGGGAGCAGCGGGCGGCAGGAGAGGTCTGCGCGCCATGTGGGACCCTCCTCCAGTGGCTGGGGAGCAGCCGGGGATCGAACCGGCGCTGCAGAGGCCGCGGGCGGCTTCGCAACCCAGCACTCAACCGCTGCGCCACCGGGGAGGCCCCTAAATGTTCATGTTTTTATATTGGCATATGGTGTCACCCCCTGTATACTTTTTTCTTTTTTGCCAGAACATATCTCTATTTCTGCTCTCAGTGTTGTGTCCTGTCTTGCAATTTAGAATTAACAACAGCTTTCATACATGAGCTCTTATAATTGTTATATAGCTTCTTGTTACAGGTTTTAGATTATTGAAAAAAGTACCTAATATATGTGACTTTTGTTGTTGAATGACAATACAATTTATAGTTTAGTGTTTTGAAGATATTCAGAACACTGGCATACTCAGCAGTACAATAGAACAAATGAACATTCAAGTATACTGCATTCTAAGTCTGTCAATATTTCATAAGGGGATCACCCTTGATAAGCCATTTTGGCTTCCTGCACCTCACATTTTTATCTATAAAATGGGAATAACCTTTTAGGTCTTTACAGTAAAAACCTGGGTTACTATATTGCAAGTCAGTATGTGAGTATAAGATAAGGACCCTTTACTCCAAAAGAGAAAAGAGATAATAACAACCCTACAATTGGAAACTGCCAAACAATGGGAACCAGCTACCTTCTACTTCTTTCACTGGTTTGATTTCATTCATGGTTCCCACCCAGAGGTCTATCAGGTGTCATTAAGAGAAGAATGTTAAGGTCATGAATGTCCTTCTCCTGTTTCCTTCTTGTGACATTCTAAGCTGGCCAGTTACCTTCATACCATCATTTTCCTCTTAAGGGATCTACAAGGGTTGTCAGGCAGCTGGTTCTACAAGCAGAAAATGTCACTGTTTTATTCTTCACTACACAGAGTCCCCAATGGGCAGGAGAGTGAGAAAAATAAAATAACATAAAATTCCTTTATTATTGAACTGCTTCATGCTTTCTTGTTCTCCTCCCTCCCTCTGACATGTACTTTCTCAGGGACAGTATGAATAACTACAAGTAAAAAAAAAAAAAAAAAAAAAGGAAAATCACAGTCAAACCATAAACTCTGCTATTTGTAATCAGTGCATAACCTTTCTGATGAAATTTGTGGGTAATTCACTTCCCACTTAAGCCTACCAATATGAGATCTAATGTTCTGCCCTGAACACTAATGAAGGAAGTCAGACGGCAGTACAGCTAGCCCTTGGGGACTCATTTCTCACATCACCAAAAAGTAATTTCTGTCATTTTCGGCCATCTGGTAGCTGGGTTGTGAAGATGAAGTTTCTTTCAAGTAGTGCTTAAGAGCATGGGGCCTGGAGTCTGCCTGTATTCAAGTCTTTATGTTTCTTGCTTAGTCCACACTCTATCTCAGATTCCACTTTTAAATAAAATCCTCATACTGTAACCAAGGCTAAATGGTTAAATTGTTTTCAGACCTTTCAAGAGCACAAAAAGAATAAACTTTCTATCTGAGACTTGCATTCACAGATGAACAGAAACAGCCTTGAGCTGAGCTCCAAGGCCAGTTAGAAACTGAAAATACAGATAGAAGGGGCTACTCAGAAGTGGGACACCTTAATTCCTGGCCCTGGGCTTTTATAAGCAAAATCTTTTCTAATTGGTTTGATTGAATGGGACCCTTACGTGGCCCATGGTCACTGGTACTATAATATACATATTTCATTTGATCTTCGGTCTTTGTCTCCTGAATTACTTAGTTACTATTGTCTCTAAAAGGCTGGAGGCATTAAAATTTCCAAATAATTATGATTCAAGGATATAAACAGTTGGGATTACAGCCTGCCATCATGTGACAACCAATCATGTCTCAAGTTAGCTAGGGAAAGAGTATTCCTTGATGGCCCCAAACCTCTGCCCCTACTCAGCAAGAAGGAGTTCCAGATGATGGACCCTCATTCATTGTACCTCAAGAATGAGGAGCAGAGTACAGACAGTAGGAAACTGTCACCCATCTGGTAAACTTAAGTTCCTTAATCTTGCCTTGTTTATCCTTCCTCTGCTCCTGTTTATCTTTTCTTGCAGACAGAACAAGAACACCAGGCAAAACTGGCTGAAGCCAAGATGGAGGTAGAAGTAACAGGGGTTAAGACACCTCATTACCATAGTAAAAAGCACACCCTAGAGCCAGGACAAATCTGGTTAAGACCAAACTTGGAAGAAAAAAGGTCCTGGGGCAGTTCCTGGAAAACCCTGCATTTTATCCGAAAATCCTATTGACATAGACCCTTTAAAACTTCTCCCTTTTCTTAGAACTCCCCCATGTAAGTTTCTGTTTCTCCCCAATTCTGAGAAATGGCCTTTGTGACAACAGTCTGCATGTCCTCAGATTTTCCAGCATCTGGTTAAACCTGATTTCCTTTCATGAACTCTTGTCTCTTGCGCTTAAGTTTATGAATGGAGAGCAGCCAGACCCCTCCAAAATTCCTAACACAATAGGAAATCATTTCCTTATGATAAGGAGTTATTGAAGTAATAGTTGCAAAGTAGTTCACATAGGGTCTTATATACAGTAAATGTTTAAAGTTAGTTATTATCAAATTATAGTAACGATGGTAGTAATAGTATTAAGAGTATTTTTGTAATGTCTACCTATCTGTGACATAGAACTCATTAATTCAGTTTTTAAGCTATAGGGTACATCTTCTGGTCTGCCATACACCAAAATGATACTTAGAAGCCTTCAATTACAGTGATTAACAGATGGTTTCCTTATATGACTAGACTGTAAGTTACCAGGTATAAACCACATATTCATAGCACAACGGTGCAATCTCACACTAAATAGCACTATTTTTCCTGGCATTTGGAGCAAAAACTGGGCTAGATTAACTTTATATACAGAAGAAAATATAAGTAATCATGATAAGCTTATTCTTAATATTTATATAAATGTGCATGCCCTCTGATATCCAGATAAGGTCCATTCTAATCAGAAAAAGATCTAAGAAATTTTCTCTACGCTATTCTGTTTTTCATAAAATGCATGGCTATAGTGGAGAGATTCTTACCTTATAGTAAAACTCACACCTTTTGTCTTTTACTAATTGTCTAAGAAAGTCTTAAAGCATCTTGGCTTCTTACCACAACATTCCAAGTGGTTTAAGTCATAAAAGTACTTAGCTCAAATTTGCTTCTTCCAGCACATGGACATCAAATCTGCCTATATAGATAAGGTTCTAGATATGGTTCTTTATTCCATTTACTTTGTCTTTACAGTTCCACCAAAGATCTCCAACATCTCCTCGGATGTCACTGTGAATGAAGGCAGCAATGTGACCCTGGTCTGCATGGCCAATGGTCGTCCCGAACCTGTTATCACCTGGAGACACCTTACACCGACTGGTAAGCAACCTTGCATTTTCCAAATGGCCACACTGTTTATTCCTGTACTTTTGAAATTCAATTGGAAGTCAAAGGCAAGGACCTTACTGTGAAAATACCAACATCACTATTATAAAGAATTTATTTAGCATCCTCCTGGTTTTTGCTAATATGTTCATCTCTATAAAGTCTATTATTATAGTTGTAGATATTGTTTCTCTATCATCTATCTGTCCATAGATAACTACACTACCATAGATTTTGTATGATAATGCTATCATATTTCATATTAATTAGAAACCTCCCTTAAGGCAAGGGAACTAATATATAAGCATTAAATGACTTGAGATTATGTCAAAAATATATACTACTTTGGTGTTTGAATGTCTTGGAGCAATGTTTTGTGTGTATTTTGTTTTGCTTGGCTTTTAATTATAGTTTCCAAATATGTAGCACCCTATCCTTGGCATCCTGGCTCTGTGGAGGGTCATCAGGCATGGACTAAGGGGAGTGAGCTCATTATGGATCCCCAGCTTTGGTGCTAATTCAGTAAAAATGAGAATCTCCTTTCTCAGGAATGGTTTCTGCATCCTTCTTTACCATTTCTTACATCTGTCACCCTAATTGGGTTCTGAGATCCTTCTACTTTTGAGCTTCATTTACTATTTCACTTTATCATTTAGGATTGATTGCATACACACTCCCCTAATCTACAGGCTGCTTTTTTATATACAAAACAATGCATTTACAAAATTTGGACTTTACAGAATGGGGCCTGCTATTTAATTTTTTCTGAAAGATGAGCTATGAATTAATTATACCTACAACTGTCATTGATTTTGGTAGATAAGCCCCAGTTTTTAACTGGTTTATGTCTAATAATCTAAGAAATTTCCTCATGTAAATATCTAAAAACTTAATTTACTACTTATTCATTTTGGAATGAATGCCATGAAAAGTTTTTATACAAAGTGAAACATATAGTGGGAATGATGCTCCTACGAGGCTTGGCAACTATTGATAGTGTCTTCAAAAACCTGTACTTTGTGATGTGAGAATATGGGTCTCCATTTCATGATAGCCCTCAAATTAATTTCTTTGGTGAAATTGGGGCCAAGCTGTAGAAAGGTATCTTATTTATGTAGGTATTCTTATTAGAGGCTTCTATTTTCTTAAGAAAATGTCACTCAACACCCATCCTTATTGTTAATGCATGCACCTTGTCATTTATTCATAACATATAAGAGCAATAAATGAGGCATTTATTTGGAATATCAACCTCAAACTCATTTCTTCTTAGCCCCATTTTTTTTTTAAGATTTATTTATTTAAGCACTTGGTACAGTCAGAAGCATGGGAGGGTGAGAGAATTCACCAGAGCCAGAGCGGGGAGCAGAGCAGGCAGAAGGACCGAAGTACACTGCTGGGGGAGCAGTGGGCGGCAGGAAAGGTCTGAGCGCCATGTGGGGCCCTCCTCCGGTGGCCGGGGAGCAGCCGGGGATCGAACCGGCGCCGCAGAGGCCGCGGGCAGCTTCGCAACCCAGCGCTCAACTGCTACGCCACCGGGGAGGCCCATACTTCACATTTTAAATATGAAGGATTGTCTAAAGAGGTCAACACTTTAGATAATTTAGAACTAAATTCATGCTTGAATGTATTTTAAAAAATACAGGAAATGGTATATAAATTACACATTAATTATATGAATTTTATTTTTTAAATTTATTTATTTTTACATCATTGTTCATTTTTAAACAATATATATATATTTTTTACCCTCCCAGGTATAGTCCTCATAGAAGTTCCTTCACCAATGTACCCGTGCACCATCACCACAGTCCCCTGTGCTCCTCCCTCCCTCCCTCTGATCCCTCTCCTGCCTCCTCCCATGCACGATGTCTCTGATTTATAATTGTCTACTTTTGTTTTGTTGTGTTTTGTACTGCTATTATTTTTTCACACTGATGTCTTATTTGGTTCCCCTATATTCCTTCTATAAGTGAAACCATCCGATATTTTTCTTTTTCCTTCTGACTTATTTCACTGAGCATAATTCCTTCTAGCTCCATGTATGTTGCTGCAAATGGCATGAGTTTATCTTTTTTGATCGCTGAATAGTATTCCATTGTTTATATATACCACATCTTCTTGATCCAGTCATCTATGTTTTAGGCATTTGGATTGTTTCCAGGTTTTACCTATTGTAAATAGTGCTGCAATAAACATAGGGGTACACGTGTTCTTTTGAATCAATGTTTTTGTGTCTTTTGGGTAGATCCCTAGAAGTGGAATTGCTGGATCATATGATAGCTCCATTTTTAATAGACTGAGTAACCTCCAGACCGCTTTACATAGAGTTTGGACCAGTTTGCCCTCCCACCAGCAATGTAGTAAACAAACTGTGTGGGATTGTGGAGCTTCAGACTCATATATAGACCAGTCTTACTTTCATCTTGTTTTCTAACCATCATTTTTTTTTTTCATATATAGCAACAATTTTTTTAAAGATTTATTTGTTTATGTATACAAGAGCTGGGGCATAGGCCAGAGGTGTCTGGGGTGGGAGCAGTGAAAGAATTCAGCAGAGACAGAATGGGGAGAATAACAGGAAGATTGACTGAAATACATTGCTGAGGGGAGCAGAGGGTGAGATAGGTGAAGTCTGCTGAGCCATGTGGATCACCTCCCCGGCTGGGGATGGACCTTGTGCTGCAGTAGCTATGGATAGCTCCATAGTGCTGATGCCTAACCCCTTCAGCCACCAGGGAGGCCCAATAGTGGCAAATTTTATAATTAATATGAATGTTTATATGAACATATTACTTACAAATCTCAATTTTTATTGTGAGCAAATAATAGATAAAGGAAGGGGAGATGGGATAAAGGAAGATAGATTATATTCAAGTTAAAATCAAGGAATGAACTCCATTAGTAAAAAAAAAAAAATGTTATTTCTTTTGTCCTTATTGACTAGTAAATAGTTTTTTGTTTATGTCAGAAAAATGTTCTTACTGACCTGAATCCAAAGATAGATTCTTTTTTATCCCTTGAATTGCTACGAATTCTGAGAGAAAACCAGAGTTTCAAGGTCACCCCAAGCTTGGTTTAGTTTAGATCTTCATGGCTAAATGAATATACTTTCTAAATGAACATGTGATATGAACCCTGAATAACCTGGTTTTTCGAGATGTTTTAAGTCAACTAAACCAGAGGGCAAGTGAGATCTATCAGAGTAAATGCAGCATTGACCTACCCTCAGAGTACTCTTGAGACTTCAAAATCAACTAGTAAAATAAGTGTACTCACATGGACTCCCAATAGTAAGGCCAAGGGTCAGCAAACTGCAGCTAGTGGACCAAATCCAGCCTGCCCCAATTTTGTGCTGCCTTTTAGCTAAGAATGTTTTTCAAATGTTTTTCAAATGGTTGAGGAAAAAAATTAAAAGTTGAATTCTGTTATTTAATATGGAAAAAATATGTGGCATTCAAATTTCATTGCCCATAAATAAAGTTTTATTGTAACACAGTCATGCTCATTCATTTATGATTATCTATAGCTGCTTTAGTTCCAAAACAGCAAAGTGAGTGGTTCAAACAAAGGCAGTTTCGTCCACAAAACCTAAAGGATTTTCTATCTGGCCCCTCACAAAAATGTTTCCAGGACCCTGACCAAGACCATGGCTTGGGGCACAGGGAAGGGATTTTTCTGTTCTCTGTTTCCCTCTGGGACTTTGGGAATATCCTCTATTAAATTCCTAAAGAATTCTCAAGGGAAATAATGTTATTCTTCTATAATCCTCTATCTAGACCCCCTCTGTGGGTCAGATTCTTTACTGGCACATGCAAAACTAGCTCCCTGCTGCACTCACAGGCTCAAAGGTAGAGTGTAATTCTCCCTGACAATAGGCATTAATTCTGAAACCTACTATTTCATCTTTTTCACATCTGACCTAAATAACCACTTGATCATAATCATATTTCTGGTGACAGGAGAGAGAATTTGACTTTACTCTTCTATAAATGAAACTAGGAATTTTTTGGGCTTTTTTTTCTTCTTTCAAAATTTGGAAACAGAGGGTGATCCTTTTCAACCTATAACATGAAATCTTTCTTGAATACACCCGATGAAGAGGCTCTGCTTCCTTTGTGACAGCAAAGCTGCCTACACCGTGGCCATGTGAGCAAAAAAAAAAAAAAAAAAAAAAAAAAATTCAGCTAGCTTTGTTCAATTATTAATTGTACCTTCAACAGTACAGAGTGTGACTGCCTTGCAGAGAAAATGTACCTGTAATTAGCTCGACCCCACAGGGACATAGAGCGCTGAAAGGGGGAAGATTCCATGCAGGTTTACAAGTACCTGATTACCTGTCATTTGATGACATGATGGGGAGAGAAGGAAAGAGGATGCAGGTACATTTTTATGGGGAGAAGAATATTACCTTTTATTCAGTTCTTTTAAAAACAAAAAATAAAGCTTTGCTGTTTCCCTTCCATTTGACATATGAAATTTCTTTTTCAAGTATATTGCGAGTGTTCTTAAAGAGGGAAATGAGGGCCTCCCCTGGTGGCGCAGGTGGTTGAGCGCAGCACTGTAAAGCTGTTCGCAGCCTCTGCATTGCGGGTTCGATCCCAGCCTCCTAGTGAGAATCCCACATGGTGAGGCAGACCTTTCCTGTCTCACTCGCTGCTCCCCTCAGCAGTGTATTTCAGTCAGTCTTTCTCTTCTGTTCCCCGCTCTGTCTCTGGTAAATCCTCTTACCCTCCCACACATCTGGCCTGTACCCCATTCTTGTATGCGTGAATAAATAAATCTTTTTAAAAAATAAAAAAAGGAGGGAAATGAGAAAAATGGTGAATCTTTCATATGTGCAGAATCAAAATGCCTACCTGACTTGGAAGTAATGATTGTCTTTCTTACATTGTTAATTTATTAATTTGTATATTCAAAATTATGTGTCACGTATATGGTTGTAAAATGTGACCTATTTTCTCTTTTAATTAAGTTAGTCTTTCATAATCCTA